GCTTTTTCAACCGGTCCGGTACCGGTCCGGTCCGGTCCGGCCGGACCGGTACCGGTTTGCCGGACCGGTTCCAGCTCTGATAGCGATAAAGAATGATAATAGTAAGAAGAAAGAATGTCTTCATCTAGGGAAACACTGTTCATTCTTTCAGCATAGATGTCTTTTCATTCTTGTTTCTTCAGCTAAAAAAACCCTATTTTGATATTGAATCATGGCATAGCAATCATTATCGATTACATTAATGTTATTATTCAAATGGAACTATTTCAAGTGGATTATCAATACAAGATATTGCACAATTGATTGAAATAACAATTAATTGACTAGTGGCGTAAACAGAATTCTTCGGGTGGTTGAGAGCCGTCTTACTAAGTTTGGAAAACGTGTTTATATTCATCAAGATTATTTCTTTATCATCATATATGCCAAACTTGAGTTAAATTCCACTGTCTCATAATATTGGAAAGTGTAAGACATTAGCGGCTCAGTTCCCTTTGGAAGAACAGAAATTATTACTTTGTACGATATCAATACAACACATCTGATCTAAAACGGTGCCGACGAATAAGATCGTTGTTCTGACTCCAAAATATTTCATTCTTTTGTGTTGAAATTAATTCAATAGCAGCTTTTGAAGAAAATTGCCAGGATTTATTTTATAACATCTCTTGATCGATTTTTCGAGTCACAATCTTAGCTCCATACAGATGTCGTCAAAATATGCTGCCGTCATCTCCGTAGAGGAATTCAGTTGTGACTTGAAAAACTTATTGAGAAATATTGCAAAATAAATCTTTGCAATATTGTCGGGAATAGCTATTAGACGTATTTCAACACTAAAAGCTGGAGTATTTTGGAGATACGAAAACAGTCTTATCCTTCATCATACTATGATTATGAATTGAATATGATAGATAACATCTGAATTTCTAACGAATATTGCACAAGTTAACAATTATCTAAAAATCTCACTTTAAAATTTATCATATTATGGAGTGATTTATAAAAATATTTCATATTTAATCGAGCTACTTGACATATCCTGCATTGTTGTATAGTAAGGTATTCTATTAAGTTGATATTTGATGATGCATAAGATATTTCTCATAATGATGAAAAAAAAAGTCATTATCGAAAATTCTGATTGAGAGGAGCAGAGAGATAGCCAAAATCTTTGAACCTGATGAATGTATAAACGTCTTTATCGAAGATGGTGTGTATTTAGAATAAAAATAAATATATAGCTGCTTTTTCTGCATCTATAATACAATTCAGTTAATATTATTGTATAAAAACAGCAGAAACTAAAAGACAGACGTATACCAGGATATAACGATGGAGAAAGTACATACACAGAAAGGAAGTGAATAGAGAATGTTCGTAGCTAATGAACAATAGAAAGCAGGTCAACATTTTGTTCAAAAAGTTTCATATCTATTTCTGGGTATTTATGTTGCAAGAATTCTTTTCGATCGCAGAGCACATTAGAAAATAACAAAAGAACTCAATTTTCCCTGGCATCTTTTTTAAAGAAGGAAATTGTCTTCAGAAGAAATTGAATAATTTTTTCGGTACTTTTAGCAGGGAACGGAATCTCACTAGTGACTATTTATTTCTTTGCAAGAAGCATAAGTAATTAAAATTTTCCAAATTTAACTTTGAAACTTTTAAAACATGGTTAGTCTTATATAACTGAGATTATTCATTGAAGCAACAATTTTGGATGATGGAAATCCGGTTTCTGTGTCAATTCTTATGAAAAACTAAACTATCATCATATACTACTTATGATTCTTGTTCAGAAGTTTTTGCCAGCAAAGGCAACCAAATTCATGACAAATTTTCACAAGCAAAATTTCTTACAAAGTTAATAATTATTTCTAGGAGTTTGCAAGATTGACGATCTAAGTCTCATATTAGAATGAACGTCCTAAAATTTGACAATTAACAAGAAGGTTGCTAATCAGCTGAATAGGTCATACCATATTCCATTCGATTTGCTAACGGTCTCTATTACTCGTCTTCATATTGTTAATATGGGATGCAGTCATTAAAGCATAAATGAACATTTTTATTGCGATGAGAATGTGCCGTTTATTGAAAGTACCTCTATCGTATTCGTAGAATATGTTACTTGTTTGTAACAAATGGTGATACATAACGGTTCATCTAATACTGATAAAATTATCTCATAGGTCTTTCCACGATGCTATAGAACTTTTGGTTTATTAGAAAAGTGGTTGAGCGCAACAATGTCTGGTTAAACTGTTGAATTTACATGCACTGGATTTATTTCAGTGTCGACAAAAGTTGATAATTAGTTTCACTCACTAGGATTATTAGCACCAGCGAATGTGATAGCCACTGTTCTGTCACAACTGACTGATCAGAGCTCTCGGATCATTATCAATATACTAATGCTCCTTTCATAGGTTTTTACTTTCTCTAAGATCCAATGGTCTCTCTATCCTAGAACAGTAGGCGATCGACAACAATGACATCGACTTCTGTTGTATTCTATTGCTTACTTGATCGATATCTTGATATTCCAATCGAAGCAACTAAGTTTTGTTGAAATCCATCTTTCGTAGACATTTATTGAGCAATTTATGAAGAAAATCACAGTGGATGTCCCGTAGGATAGCATCACTTGTTCCATATTTTTTCTCAAATTACTTTATGAACATTAGCTGATAGATATGATGAATACAGATAATTGACGATTAGGAAATCAAGAGGAACCTCACCAGTCCATGCGTTAGGATAGCATATTAGAACACTTCGAATAATGATAAGATCAACTACTCATTCACTAGCTATACAGAATGTTGTGCACTGCCGCCTACTTGTATATCATGTGTAGCATTTAATATGAGAATACGGATATTTTTTGAGTTAGATTGTGTCATTGTACCAGCAACAAATGAGATACAAACAAGACAACACTTATATCAGCCGATAATCAAATATAAGTCGCGAAAGCCATTATATCAGACAACATAACGATATCAATGAACGCATTGCTTAAATGTATAGGAAAGAGTATGAGGTCTGAAAAAGATGACAGGTAAATTATAACAACACTACGTCCGGATCCGAATGACATTAACCGAAAAAAGTTATCGTCCATGTTGATTGATGAGCCTTTAATTTTTTTAAGAATAAATTCTTTCTCCAAGGTTGGGCGTGTTATGGCAAGTGTTATACGTGAGAAGAGTATACTCACAAAAAAGCTACACTCTCATTCCATAAAATTTTGATACAATCAATTCGAACGATATGGATACAATAGATTGTTAGAAAAATCAATTTTCAATCAAATAATAATCCCGACCTCAATAGGTTAAACTTTTATTTACTTCAAAGAAAAAATTTATATATCAATGATTATCAAAAATTAAGGGTAAAACAAAATTCTTCATACAGAAAATCGTTATTATCTATAATATAGAATACCTCGTTCAAAAAGATCGTTAACATGCTGATTGAATCGGATTCATAAAAGTGACTGCACCCATTGTAACCGTTTTTCGTGAAGATCTTGGACTATTATCAAGTGTTTCACATGATAATTCTGCTTCTATATTTGAATTGAAATTTGGATATTTATCAGCATGTTTTTGAACAAATTTTTTTGACACTTTTACTGAACTAGTAGCACGTGTTCGTAAATGGACTATTTCAAACACAAAATTCCGATAAGTACTTGAATTTTTTGATAAATGAAGTAGAACAATATCACAAACAAATGTTGCTAAACCAAATAATCCAACTAAGGAACCAGTATTTAAAGTTAATTTAATAAAATTAAATTTTCCAGCTTTACCACTAACAGCAATTACTAAACGAAGACCAAAAGCTTTTGTTAATGTACGAAAATGCTTCTTATTACGTTTCCAATGAGAAGCATAACGAAAATTAAAACCACGTGAAAATGGTTTTTCATGAAAAGGTACATCAAGACGAGCAAATGAATATTCAGGCTTACATAATTTTA